TTTTTGACTAGCTTTAATTTACTGGCATTGGGGTGGTACTGTAGGGTGATAAGGACTGAGATCTGGTGGGTAAGTAAGAAATAAATTATCTCCTCGAGATAAGAACGCAAAATGGGAAAAGGCGACCGCTACGTTCGGCCAAAATAATTTTTTTTTCATGATCGCCTTACAAAAATACTTTACCCTCTGTGGTGTTGAGCGAACTAGTGGACATTTTTTAATTTTGCAATTAAAACACTAATATAGGAGAAATTTCATCCTGAGATGGGCCCCCATAAGACTGCGTTGGATACTTCCCAGTTGGAATAAAGAGTTAAGGAATCCTTTGTAACTAATGGTTGTGCAGGCCACGCGTTGGCATATCTGGGAATGCGGCAGAACTCGCAAGGAATTCAAAACAATCACTCATTGACGAATGTGGCTAATGTCCTAGATGTTTAAAGGCAAATGTTGTTGTTTGTTTAAGATGTAAACAGATTTTTTTTGTGTTATAAAATTCATAAACGAGGTGTCCTAGACCCCCCGTTCACCCGCTCTAAAAGGGAGAGAATGGTTTTTTTTCACAGAAAAACGCAAAAATACTACCTACCAAATCGGGGATGCTCTATCTTTCGATGGAAGTACATTTTTTTTTAATTAGACATATGTGCATGCTTTCACTACACATTCGGATCCTGAGTATAAAAATACGTAACTTTTATGTATTTTAAATGCAAAATACAAATACTGCTTAAAAAAATTAACTAAAATACAAATACAAGATACTTTTGTAAAAAATATGTATTATATATAGATATTATTTTCAAAAGATTACTGAAATTTATGGATAGTTAATGACGTTTTCTTTTCTACCGAAAATGTCGCCTTCCCATTGCCCTTTGCGCACAAATGCTAAGAAGAGGGCAAAGAAAATGCAAAATTTTTTGTATAAAAGAAAAAGCCATAATACATTATAAAAGTGAGTTTTAACAACATAATTTTTTATTTTTAAAAATTTTTTAACAATTGGGGTATTCCCACATGCCTGGTTATCACGTAATCTGGTTAAAAGCAGAGCTGTTAAGTAATGATTATAAATTGTAATGACTACCGATTTAATTAATTATTTTTTTAAAATCTGCTAGATGATTAATTACCATCATTTCCACTTTTAAATTAATAATTACCGATTAACATTAAAACTAATCAAAAAATAATCGTATTTTTAGCGAATTGGAAGAAAAAAATCAAAAATAATCAAAAACAATCAAAAAAGCTAATGCGATTAGTTTTACAATAAAATTATTATTTTTTGGTTATTTTTGATTATTTATAAATTATATTCTGTGAACATAAATATTCTTTCTTATTTTAAAACAACTTAAACAAACTGCAAGAAGCGATAATATTATAACAAAAAACATAATACATATATAGATATTATCTACATACATAATATCTTACGTAATAACGTCTAACGTCTGCTTATACAAACAAAAATTAAACAAACATATTCAATGGAATTATAAATTAGCTTTCGCTTTTAATAATACGAAGTTTTCGAAAGAAAAGTCGGTTAAGAAATGTCGCCTGGGTGGTATTATAATTCTCGCAAAAGAAAAAATCCTTTCGACAGGGCCTGATGATGTTAATAGAGTATTGAATAGTATGCCAGCTTCTTTTAATAATTCATAGTCTTTCCAAACGTCTACTCCCGGCCCGGGCAGAGAGTCCACCCTAATATGTTTGCCATAGCTCTAAGTCTGTCTAAAAGTTATTATTCTCTAATGTATTTTGTTTTTGTAAACTAAGTAAAAGATACAACCACATGACCTGATAACCAGGCAGGCAACAGGGCCGTTTTCTTAAGTAACCTCTCATTTAAAGCTCACATTATATCTAAAGGTGGATTTAAAATATATAGCTATGTCTAAAGTAAAGCATTTATGTTATCGGTTTTTGATGTATGTATGTTTCTTGGTTGTAAACCACGCAACCATCAATTTTAATGTAATCTTTAAATATAAAGTGAGCCTTAAAGTTAAAGGTTACTTGAGAAAACGGCCTTTAATAATAAATTATAAAGTAAACAGAAACATAACGAAACCATTTAGGTACTTACCGATTATTTTATATGTATAGTACGCAAATAATTATTAAAAAATGTTGAGGTGAATGATAGTGATAAATGAGGTAGTGCTGAGGCTAATCTATGGCATTTAGACGTCGTACGGTAAAATGATTTGCTTATTAAGAGATATACTTAATCTTTAACTGATTTTTAAGTGCCTGAAATATAAAGCAAATGAGTTGATTAATATCTAATATGAATGATGAATGTAAACGACAGTTTTATGAGAATTATAATATTAATGTATATGAACGTAAATACTATCTACGCCTTTAAGCAACCATTGATGAAAACGAGATCGCCAAAGCTAAGTAAATAAATAATACATATGTATGTATGTATGTACATCTGCTGCTCCAACAAAAACAACTGCGAGAGTCTACATTTTTTGCAAGTCATTGACCGAAGATTTTTGACCTCGATTAAATGCATTTTTGATTTTCATGCGACAAATATTAACGTTCGGTGATTTTTGATAGTAATAAAAAATCGGAAATTCTAGAAAAATCATCGTATTAATTAATCGCAAACCAAACTACGCATTTGGTTTCACTTTTTTCCACTTGGTAGCCTTATTACATATTGAGAGTAATTAAAATAGGCTATAATTGATTACTCATGCATACTGATAAGTTGTTATTTTGGCAATTCTTATCAGTTGTCACGCATGGCATAAATGAAACATGTGTATGGACAAATGTACATACATACGTCTCCAAAAACGAGTTCGTGCTGTCGCAAGCGTATACGAACCGAATACGACGAGCTTACACAGTTAGTTGTGTCCGGTTTTCGGGGCATACGAAGAGATGTTTCGAGTCGTGGGGTGTCTCTCCGCATGCCGGACATTCATTGGGCACATCTGCGTCTAATCTGCGTTTAGCCTGCTGCAGTAGCCAGAGCGAAGTTGGGCTATTGTGGTTCTCTAGTCTCCCGAGGCAGACGAAGCTCCGTGTCGTCGATGTTAGGTGGTTGTGTGGCTAGAACGGCATTCAAAGGTCTGGAGGCTACATAACTGACTCCCTGTGTAGCCGCTACAACAACAATAACAACAGGCCACACAGTTCTTTTATTATCAAATGTCTATCTTATTGTTATTGTCCAAAAATAAAGCTATTGAGATACCTATTAATGTATGTAAATCATTGTTCAGCGTTAATAAAGCCTGTCATCCCGCTGTAGCCGAATCATTGAAGCTGCGTACTTCCACTCAGTAGGAGCAAAGTTTGATTCCAGGTCAGGGTAACATTCAAGAACAAGTTGTTTCTATTTCAGCTTATTGTATTTCAGCTATAAAAAAGCTTCTCATAAAAAAAAACTGCCGAAGGCGACGTAAAATTGTAGCCCCTCTATTTATGTAACAACATCAAGACGCGCGCCACAAAGTCGAAAAGACACGGATTTTTGAATGTGTTTATATGTAATCTACGTGGTAGCCCCGCAAACATATTCTGAGCGCTCAGAATATATGAGTCGGAAAGGAGTCCTAGGTAAGTAAGAAATATGAGTTTCAAAAACAAACATTTTTTTACTCTTATATGAATCTTTTAGGAGTCATATATGATCCAAGTTATGAGCCAGCACTTTGTGCCAGTATAAAAACAATAACGACTAGAAATTTATATCTAAACTTGTTTATACAGATATGAAAAATAATTAGGAAGGAAAAATAAACAAAATTTAGCTGCAGCAACTGCTATTACATGAATGCTGCAATATTTATTTATTTTTTATTTAATCAGCATATTTTGCAAAATAAATTTGCAAAATATAATGTCAGCACCGGACGTCTAGGTCATTGAGTGCCATTGTTGATGTCGCTTTTAGTTAGATTTGATTATTGAGGTGATGAATTTCTAATGCTTTTTCTATTACTTCGATGTTGCTATTGTATATATGTACATATATATGTATGCGCAGAGGTTTGTATATAAATATCCAACAGTATTTGAAATGAATTGCTTGCTAACATGGCTCTAAAGTAAGTTCATTAAGAGAGTTGAAGAATAAAGCCAATAAGAGTCACAGAACAGTATACAAGAAGCTCCGAAAGTAGGCATTTATGAGGCCAATAAGAGTAATTTAAGAGCTTCAAAAAGAGTCCAAAATGAGCCGTATATGAGGCCAATAAGAGTCCAATATGACTCATATTGAGGCTCATTTGATGTATGAATTTAAGCTCATATAGGTCGACCTACGCAGGAAGGGAAACACCCTCATTTCGGACTCTTAAATGAGCTCATTATGAGCACAAAGGCTCCGAAATGGGACTCCTTAAAGACTCATTTATGACTCCAAATGTTTGCTGGGAGGCTACGTTTTAGCATGTGATAGAATTGAATGCTTCGAAACTGGTGCACCTACTTCAAATATGAATCTTCTACACGTTTTACAACAGAAAGATCAGGAACAAGTTATTTTTGTCGAAGCACCAGTTCGAGCCAGGTCGGCCGCTGTGGTGTAGTGGTAAGCAGTGCGCGCTTCCACTCCGCTGCGCCTCGGTTCAAGCCCTGGTCAAAGCAACATCGAAAAAATATAGAAAAAAGGTTTTTTCTTAACAGCGGTCGTTCCTCGGCAGGCAATGGCAAACCCCCGAGTGTATTTCTGCCATGAAAAACAGCTTCTCATAAAAATACAATCGCCGTTTGGAGTCAGCGTAAAACTGTAGGTCCCTCCGCTTTGTGTGACAACATCAAGGCGGAGGAGAAGCTCGGCCTAACACTAACTTATGCCAGCCAATTTCTTTCTCATAATGATTCATTGTAAGCAAAGAAGCTCAGCCCGAGACAGTAAAACAATATACAAAGGGCATCAGAAATAAAAAAACACTAGAAAGGTTCTGTAAAATTTGTTTGGAAATCGTTTGTGTTGGCAAAAAGTAAAGCAATAATTATTTCTTATACGGACTTTATTGTTAAGCGTGTCGGCTGCTTATCTTCAGACGAACAATAAAATGGTTTTATAGCATAGTATAAACACCGGCAAATAAGTGTAGAAATATCTTAAGACGATAATAATCTATTTAAAGAAAATGCCTGAAATGAAAATATTTTACTCTAAATAGTCAACAGCTTTATCACGCTTGTTTTACACAAGCGAGCAACGCCAACATTTCTACCACTTGCTTTAATCAACAATAGAGATCTTAGTATTAATTAACTAAACATTTAATATTTTCCAAATATAAAGAGACGACATGAGTTGCAAGTACTAGTGTATATAATAACAGTTTGTAAATTACAAGTGACGTTAGTTAGCACACAACTGACCTGTGGTTATGCACAAAAGTGCAACGTGTAACAGCGATAACAGGCGCACATGACGCGTAGTCGTGCGCTTTACATTTTATTGCTTGCATATACAAATATACATATGCACATAAATATTTATATTTAGCCAGAGTGCAACGCTTGGCACTTGTTCATTTTATATACGCCACTGCTGCCAGTTAGCAGCAAAAGTGTTTTAAATTGAAAGCATCATTTATAAATACACTCGAATGAAAGCTTACATTCGCTGTTGCTGTTAACTAAATTTAAAATCAATGCATTTTCACTCAACCCATATATGTAGTATGTAGTATGTTTGGGCGTGTGTTAACTATGGTGTTGGATTTTATTGCTAAGCATTATTCTATAAACCTTTGTATAATCATTTATTGAAGTACAAAATATGCATAAAAGCAGCTTTCTTGATTTTGGGTTGATTATTTTTTATAAAAATTGTTATTGTTATTTTGTCGGTGTCGTTGATTTTAGGCTGCCGGCTTGTTTAAGACAAATGCGTTTTGTATTTGGGCCATTATTTGTTTTATAACATTGATCTAGCATATCTAGAAGCGATCGTTGTCGTGACCCTGTAGGCTTCTCAGTTGAAAGCAAAGTACTTGACTTTTTTACTTGGGATTCTGTAGGTTTTTCGGCTGAAAGCGAAATACTTAACTTCTTAACTTCCGATTCGGTCCCTTTACTGTCTGGATTATCAACTACCAATTCTTCACCACTCTTCGCATTTCCAACACTATCATCTGATTGCGATTTACTGGTGAGATCTACGATAGCAATGCTTCGCGCATTACTTAACGACGCTGTGCTAGCCGAAAGAGAGGTCGAGGAGTGTATGGTTATCGCTAAAGCCTCGGATGGAATACTACCCGCCTCCACGTCTGACTCTGAAGAAGAGGCGAAAATATCTTCACTCAAATTACTTCGCCGCGGCCCTAAGGATGCTTTTGGCTTATCCTTCGCATAAGATTGTTGCGGTTTCAACCACCTTGTTAATAAATTCCGCACGATTTTATTCTTTGGTGATGCCGCTTTCGTCTTCGGACTGTGCTGAAAGTAAAGCCAGTAAATAGAATTAAATAGGGAGACATAACCATATATCCTAAATGAGATGTCTGTGCATCTTAACAATACAAAAAACAAAAGTGAATGGTAACGTACCTTTAATGTATTACTAATGCAGCTATATATGAAATTGTACAATTCATTGGTGGACATATTTTGACTCTGATAGCTCGTCAGCAAGTTCCACAAATCTTTTACACACACATTACGCTCCAGTAGAAACGTATGCATCCGATGGACTTCGTCACGCAAATTAGCATCACCAAATGTGAAATATACCAATGGCCTTTGTGTAACAGTACATACCATCAATTGTAACAAAGCTTTCAAACGAGGGTCTCCACCGAAAGCGCCACAACCCCAATTTCCCGAAGCCACACCAGGCGGTGGGGAACTTAACAGATGCTTAAAGCCAACAAAAGCCTTATTTAGTTCGCGTTTTATAAGATCCTCCCGGTACTGATGTTGTGATTGCATAAAATGCAGCGCATCTATGGCTACTATATGTGTTTGACGGCGACGTGAGCTATCGCGTGGTATGCAATCATCATGATTTCCAGCCCATTCAAATGAACCTGCGTAACCACTATAATCACTGAAGCGTTCTGCACCGACCATTAAGAGCGCCTCTGTCGGGCGTAGACACTCTGTGAATAACTTGGATATCAATAGCTCAGGACAAATGACAAACCGTATTTCTTCTTGTACGCAACCCGAACCGAGTACGCCCCCGCCGAGATATTTATTTGCAAAATCAACTTGCAGCAGTCCTAGACCCTGATCTTCAATTGTCCCTTCTGAAGTAATATGTAAAGGTGTTGCGCCTATTGGCGCTTTACATTCGGCCCAATTAGGCAGCTCGTTTGTACTTAGGCTGCGCCGTGAGAATGTTACAACTCCGGTGGGAGTATTTGAGCTGTCTCGCTCAGTGGGGCAAACGCGTCGAAAATAGTGGCATATGCATTTAATTTTTTCGATAACTGCCTTGCCGCCGCTTTGGAAAAGCCTAATATGGTTTTATTATAAAAGACAGATAAAGATTTACTTCGAAATAGACGCTTACATACCTGTTAAAATTGATGTCTGGAAACGTGCTGTACTCTGACCGCTTCTTCATTGTATTCCGGCGCGGGAAAGTACACAGAAATGCATTGGCCAGAAGGCATGATATTTGTTGCTGTGACAACGTTACAGAATGACATTGACCTTGCTTAAGCAAAGGTATTGGCGCCTGCACCAATTCTGGCAATCGCAATGCCAGTCGTATTATACGTGGCAGCAGGTCCTCAAAAAATACGCGCGATTCAGTCTCATCCAAATCATCTTCAAAGAGCTTGTGGAGTGATCGAAAATTCCATTGATTTTCATATTTAGTGTTGTACGAGAGAATAGCGGCCTGCAGTTCTTTGCTATTGTTAATTGGCTTCAATAGCGCTTTCTCAATCATTTCCCACCGTGCCTCTATAGTGGAAGTGCCATCGGCAGCAGTAACGGGATATTGGCTTTTGCTGGAACAAGGCAACCGTACATGCATGGCATCCCATTTATGGTGTGCACGCAATGGACGTGGCGGAACATTATCGGATTCGCGTATTGGGCAATGATAGAGTACTGTGTGAGTTTCACTGGGACGAACTGCTGGGACATGCTCCAATTCAAACTCATTTAAACCACGATGAATTTCGTCCATCGAACAACCACGCCAAAGCTCTTCAGCATCCGAATCTTCAACTAGAAAAATACGAACATGTATTACATGTGTTTATATT